TTCCTCCTCTGTCTCGCCCTTTATCCTCAGTGTGTCTGTGGAATACATGTGATCCTGGAGGAAAGGAGTGGTTATATTCCCAGCAACTGAATGCCAGTGTAACAGGACCTGAAGGGGTTAACCTACATGTTAACAACAAACACCTCTATCGTACTCATGAGCATAGCTGAGCCCAATCAAGGCTCAATGAAGATGATATTCACTTGCAGACAGCTTATATAATAACAGCAGAGAAGAAATAGAATACAACAGGCACTTTGCAGGTACAGAGACCTGATGTGTTATGAAATGTGTTTCATTAAGTAAAAAGCAGCAGAAAGAATCTGTGTGAGTGTACAGAGGACAGTTATCACCCCTGCCTAGCCGATCAGCACCTCTGTGTAACTCAGAGGCATGTCAAATATCATGCCACCCAGGGCCCCAGGCCTGCCTGTGACACTGCCTGTGACCTTTGCCTGAGCTGGCTGGCTACCCACTGCCTTGTGCTTCCATTGGCTTCAGTACAGAGACATGATGCTCCACAGACGGAAGATTACACCAGCCAAGCATACGAGAGCTCTGAGTGTTTTGTCACCTTCTACTGTCTGTCTAGGATTGTGACACCACTTCCCCAATGACTGCAAACACAGGATGGATCAACAGGCCACACCCCCATAAGTGCAGGTTTCCTAAGCATAGAGTCAGAAGTGGGGCAGAGGTACACAGCATACAACCGTGGATTAATGCATATTAACAAGGATGCCCTTACATTGTCTTTGGCTCATTCACCTAACACCTGTCATAGTGGCCTAGGGATGATATCTCCAGACAGACACCACATTTTAATGAACTTAGGATCACATGCCAAGCTTAGATATCATAGATGTTCAATACCTTTGAAGGTTTATTCTGATTTCACAGGCTAAAGGACAGCCATTCTGATTTAAATATAGCAAATTTCATTGATGCTAGCCTTACTGTACATTATGACACACTTTTCTCCCACTCTTTCCTTTGGGGGTCTTATGTAGCCCAGGCTGGCTTCAAACTCTAGTCAAGGATTGTGTTGAACATCTGTTCCTTCTGCCTTTACCATCCTGAGTGCTTAGGATTGATTACAAGGAACGCCACTTCCTTTAGTGTAGTGCTGGGGATCAAAGTCTGGGCCTCCTGAGTGCCAGGCAAGCCCTCTGCCAACTAAGAGCCACAGCTCCAACAGCCGACCACCTCTGCAGTTCATCATGTACAACCCTTCAGATGATACATCTCTTCTTAAAAGTACCTAACCACTCACCTGTTTTAACACTAAATCAGAGGGGCAAGATTTTTCTACATTTTTATTATAGTTAGAAAAAACTGTAGCTCGGCAGTGGTGGTGCACGGCTTTAATCCCAGCACTTGGGAGGCAGAGGCAGGCGGATTTCTGAGTTCGAGGCCAGCCTGGTCTACAGAGTGAGTTCCAGGACAGCCAGGGCTACACAGAGAGACCCTGTCTCGAAAAACCAAAAAAAAAAAAAAACCTGTAACTGGAAACAAAAGTAAGTCATTCAAAATGAGTGACGGCTTAAGCTCCTATAAAGAGTAGGTGTAGCATCTGGAACAACTGCCCAGGCCAATTCTAAGCCATCTATTGTAAAGGAATTTAAATCCAGCAACATGGCTGTTCTGGAAAGGGATCCACCATATCCAAAGACCTTCTAGATCTGTGGTGATCCAGCTGGAATGACACAATTTATTAATCTCTCCAGCTGGAATACAGATACACTTTTAGTACACAATAAGTACAGTGACATCTAATTGAGGGGCAGACAAAGTGACAAATGAGAGAAAGATTTGACAGAATGAATTAGAGATAGGATACCCCCAACTCTCTGGAGAACAAACAGGAAAGAGGCAACTTAAGAGAGAAGGGGGAGGAGGAGAAGGCAGATTTACTAGTACAATTATACAAAAATAGGCTGCATATGAAGAAAGAACAAGCCAGAGAATGAGAAGGAGCTGGAAGATTAGATAGAACGGATTGTCAGCTTGAGGCCAAGCAAAGCAATTCAATGAGAACTAAGAGAGGCTGGAGTGACTCAGTCACCTTGGAGAGGACTTTGAGCCAGTTAGCCAGCATTCAGAAAGACTAGAAATGCTGAGCTTCCTCAGAAAGAAGTAAGCCTCAGAGATGACAATTACATCTGGTGAACAAAACTTACTTCTACAGACTATGATGCTGGAATGTGAAGGATATAGTTGTGTCCATCAAGACAAAGAGGGCGAGAGACCCGACAGACCCTCCATACCACTTGCTCCTGTCTCCTGTGTATGCAGAACTGGCCCAACACCAGCCAGGCCCAAGTCGGAAGGTATGCATGGATGGTAATCACCTCCCACAGCCAGGGAGAAAATAGGCAGGGAGGGAGGGAGGGAGGGAGGGGACACTTCCATCGTGCTTACGTATACTTACTAAGTGCAGTGCAAGAGGGTGTGTGCTGTACATGACAAGGTGTCCTTTAAACTCCTCCTTGTTAAATTTGGTGTTGAGGTAAAGTGCCATCACACGTGGGCAGCACAGTGGAGGGAACACAAAACTCTGCACCTTAGAGACAGCCATCTCAGCCCTTGGGAATCCAAGGCTGGATCAAATACTCCATCAGAGAGGACAGGTGAAGGACTACCACCAGGCTTTTTGAAAACATTGAAAAGCTTATCCTTTTGGTTAATCTAGTGATCTATTTCTTATTGCTTGGTAAAAATTGACTTCCTGCGAATCTAGTGTCTGAATTCTCACTCCAACTAAAACGGTTTCTTCAGAGATATAAATAAACAAGGGCTGGTTTTTAATTCACTTCTACCAGGAGCTAAGAAGTGTCCTGTGTTACATGGGAAAGGAAGACTGCAGTCAAGCAACCTCAGAAAAGCATTCAATAAAAGCCTCCCCCTCCTTCCCTCTTCTCCTCTAATTTTCCCAACTTTTTTAAACAAGGTCTTTCTAACACAGTCTGTGCTAGCCTTGAATCAGCTATGTAACCCAGATTGCATCAAATATGCCATCCTCCCACCTCAGCCTCCAGGGTTCTGAATCCACCATGCCCAGCTAACATGTTTCTTTATTATGGGGTTTTTCCAGACCTTTGTCACCATACCATTGTACCCTTCCAGAGGAAGGGATCGTATATAATGCCTCCAGACATTTTTTCCTAGAGAATCTACTTTTGTTGTTATTGGGATTTGGGGGTACTGGAGATTTAATTTAGAGTTTCCCATACATGAAGTCTATACTCTGCCAGTGAGATATAATCCTTTCCCAGACAAGAGTTGTGGGGTTTTTGGTTGTTTGGTTTTTGGTCTTTCAAGACCAGGTTTCTCTGTGTAGCCCTGGCTGTCCTGGGCCTCTCTCTGTAGACCAGGCTGGCCTCAAACTCTGAGATCTACCTGCCTTCCTCCTAAACACTGGGATTAAAGGTGTGTGCCACCACCACCCAGCTTAATTTCTTTATCATTTCTCTTAATTATTTTTCATTATGTGTCAGTGTGTGGTATGTGCAGGCCAGAGGTATCAGCTCTCCCTTGAACTGGAGTTACAGGTGGTAGTGAACCCAGCATGAGTACTGGGAACTGAATCTACTGGCATCTACTTGGTCTAAACCACTGAACCATCTCTCCAGCCTGTATTTTTGTTTCTTGTTCAGTATTAGCATTCAGCAGTAAAATGTATTGTAAAGAATATACTTTGAGAACCTCTGGTTAGAAGTTAAAACGAATCCTGATAGAACCTCAACTTCTAACTCTCAGGACTCGGATTAGTCTCTGCTGTGGTTTAAGTGTAAACTGCACAGGTTCACATGTAAGAGGACTGGTCATCGGTGTGGCAGCGCTGAAGTACTGTGGAGTTTTATGATGTCAGCCTAGAATGAGTCCCTGGGTCATCGGTGTGCCGCACAGTGAGTGCTTCCTCTGCTGCCCTGTGACAATACCCCTGAGTCACTGTCTGCTTCCATCTCACAAAGGGAGCGGTTTCCTCCTCCTCACCTACCACTTGGGCTCCATCATCCAGCAGGAGAATCTTCCCAGAGCTGAGTGTTGTACCCTACCATTATCCCTGAATAGAGCAGCCCACCCCGAGTCTTGTCACAGTGATAAAAAACTGACAAACTGCCCTTACCTGATCCTTTTGACCAAATTATTCAGTCTGAAAATTAAGATGTAACTGATCAAAGTAAAACAAAGAATTTTGATTTACTAATACCATCAAAACATATATATACAAGAAGTCACAGGACATGTCAAAAAACTAAGATAAAAAAATTACCATGCCAGGTGGTGGTGCACATACCTTTAATCCCAGCACTGGGGAGGTGGAGGCAGTCACTGAATTCGAGGCCAGCCTGGTCTACAGAGAGAGTTTCAGGGAAGCCAGGGCTACACAGAGAAACCCTATCTCAGAAAAACCAAAATAATAATAGTAGTAATAATAACTGACATTTTCAAGTTAACAAAATTTCCAATGGAAAGATTAGAAAGCTCAAACAATAGTAACATATGCATAAAACATCCAAATCCTAACTGTGAATAATTAAGATAGCCATATAATCTACAACAACTGGAGAATGTAACAGAGACAACAAAACTCCACCCAAAACAAAACCAAATAAGTAGTGAGTTTGTTGGCACTGTGGGAGATTGAACCATATACTTAATATATATGTAAATATATAATGTTTAAAATATAAATATGTAAGATATATGTAAATGAGCTGAATGTCCTTGGAAATAAAATAACATGTGGAAGAACACAGGAGCTAACACATACTGCCTAATCCTCCTGATAACAACTCTATCCAAACCCAGGCAGCTACTATGTTATGGACAAAATTATGAATCACCAGAGGCCTACAGAAGACTTCACTCTCTGTATGAATCACCAGAGGCCTACAGAAGACATCACTCTCTGCATATACCAACTGGAACTGGGTGGAACTAAGCGATTCAGTCTGAGTATATGAACAATGACTAGTAAGGAAGGGAAGACTTACCCACAGAAGCTGAGTTTTTAAGAACTGACTCCTTAGGGGCTCCTTTCTCAATTCGCAACGTGGCCCACTGTTCAAAACAAGAAGCATTCATTAAAACTCTTCCACAGACACACTGAAACATACTTAGACAGCCCAGCCGTGAACTTGAACACCAAGGCTGGGCACTGTCTGACTTAGGGAGATACTCCAGGGAATCTCTGATATACACTATTGCTGAAGAGTTTTAATTACTGTGCTTACGAGATCTATAAAACAATAACATCTCTAACGTGTAAAGCCCCACTTACTCAAGGACAGATAATCCTGCAAACCCCCCATGCCCAAGGACAGATAACTCCCTGGAATGCTGGCGGCTACTGTCATATAAAAATACTAGGTCAGGTGTTTTCACTTCTGTAAACAAGCTTGGTTTCTCCAACCACACAGGATGTGCTTGGTCACATGGAAGCTAGGTCACATGCCCAAAATTCATGGTAGTCTTATTCTTACCCAGTGAGATTAACACTGGTCCTTTGAATGCCTCTACAGTTGTCACTGACGATGCCCTAGTAAATGCATAAGTTGCTTCTCAAGAGAACTGTTAAACATGTCCAGGAAGAGAACAGCAAGATTACAGCTTCAACAGTGTCTGCGTTGGGAAAGGCCAACCAAACTGAAACCAACTCAAAACCCAACCAGCCAAACCAAACCAAATAGAGGGGAATGGTTGGGGTATCTATAGATCCCTTAAATGCTGGATTGAAACAAATCTACTTGAAGCCAGGAGATGGTGGCACATGTCTTTAATCTCAGCACTTGGAGGCAGAGACAAGCAGATCTCTGTAAGTTGGAGGCCAGCCCAGTCAAAAAGTAAGTTCCAGGACAGCTGGGGTTACACAGAGAAACCCTGTCTTGAAAAACCAAAAATATAATAATAATAATAGCAGCAGCAACAGTAACAAAATAAAATCTACTTGCACGTTTTACGATGTGATGTCAAATGGTCACTAATACTAGAAATGCATAAGAAACGTGTGAAGAGAGTGGGCTGTATGTAGCTCAGGTGTGAAGAGGGTGGGCTGTATGTAGCTCAGGTGTGAAGAGGGTGGGCTGTATGTAGCTCAGGTGTGAAGAGGGTGGGCTGTGTGTAGCTCAGGTGGTAGGGGGCTTGCCTTGCATGCATGAAGTCCTGGGTTCAACTCCCAGCACTGCAAAAACGTCAGTTAAGAATCACACACACAAAACCATCTTACTTTGTTCCTTACCTATTAAAATGTGTAGAGACAATGTGGGGGGGGGCATCGGGGAAGTAAAAGACCAGGACGAACAAGTGCCGGCTCGCTCTGAATACACTCAAAATGTAATGGAGAATGTCACGATTGCTTTAATGGCCTCTTAGGCTCATTTGTTTCACACACCAAAAGTCACAGAGTCCTCCAAGTCCCCATCAGACGGTCCTGTGCCAGTGTGATAACAAGGTGTGGGGGGCACATGCCACACAGTGGCAGGAACACGCAGTCATCACACTACACACTAAACAAACAAATAAAAACCACAAAAAAAAATCTTCATAGGTTTCCCATACATTTGTTTGGTTTTGGTTTAGGGTTTGGTGTTTGCTTGTTTTTGAGACAGGGTCTAATACAGGGCCTCGACTCTCTTAAGTAGCCAAGGATAACCTTGAACTTTAAAACAACAAAACTAAACAGGAAATGAACTCTGTGCCAGGAGCATTCCAGGCAAGCACTTACTACTGACCGCCCCAGGCCCTCAGCCTTGAACACCAGACCTTCCTAGCGCCACCCTATGCCCCAACCCTTCCCCCACCCTTCCAGCCCCTACTAGGATGATAAACATCTGGGTTATAAAATCCTGGTGACTGGATCCAGAGCTTCAGGAACTCGAGGCAAGCACTGTCACCTGAGCTACAGCCCACCCTCTTCATCATTTCTTATGCACTTCTAATATTATTTACCATTTGACGTCACACCGTAAAAGGTGCAAGTGGATTTTTTTTTTCAGCATAGCATTAAAGAATCTACAGATATTGCACCTTGCCCCTTTAAGTTGATGGAGTTCAGTTTTAAACTTAGCAATTAAGGGCTGGAAATATGGCTCAGTGATACAGTGCTTGTCTAGCACATTCAAGACCCAGAGTTCAATCCTTAGCAGCACATAGATGATAGACCTACAGATGATAGATAGATAGAGATAGATAGATAGATATAGATATATAGATATGTACATATGCATAGATAGATAGATGTATATGCATGCATACACACATGCACAGATAGATATAGATAGATAATAGAGAGAGATGGTTAAGATAGATAATAGATATATAATACATGCATTCATATATACATAACTATAAACAAGGATGATAGAGCTTGTAGATATAATAGTTATACATACATATAAGTGATAAAGATGATATAGATACATGAATATATAAATTTATCATTAAAAGCAATTAAAATGACATCTAAGATTACAATTCAGATGTCAATATCTTTTTTTTCCAGACACAATTTCTATGTATAGTTCTAGCTGTCCTAGAACTACCAGGCTGCCCTCGAAGTGCTTCTGCCTCCCTGGCACTGAGATTAAAGTTGTGTGCACCCACCACCAACTGGCCTTGATACTAATGTCTAAATTGACTGATTTGAAAGGAAATGGAGAGGGGAAAATAAGAGGCAAAAGGCACTGTGATATTTATAATTAGATATAATTAGGCATAAGCACAATGAAGGGCAAAAAGGCAAATTTATTACTCTACAAAAACACCTAAAAGGCTCACATTTGTGTTAAACAGAGAAATTGAACACTTTATTTTTTCAAATAAGTAAGAGAACAATGGTTAGAGAGTAAATAGCCTAGAATATCTGCATGAAGGCCAGGAAGTGTGACTCCGTCAGGACTATGTGGAACAGCACAGAGCCAAGCAGCGACCTGCACCTAATTTAGAACACCTAAGAACGGAGGCCTGTCCATCAGCAGCCCATCTCTGACAGGAAGATAGATAGATAGATAGATAGATAGATAGATAGATAGATAGATAGATGATAGATAGATACATAGATACATAGATAGATGATAGATAGATACATAGATAGATACATAGATAGATAGATAGATGATAGATACATACATACATATATACATACATACATACATACATCATACATAGTAGATAGATAGATCTAACTCTTAATCTGGCTGCATCCTCTCTACTTTTGCTTGTAGGAGGGAGGAGGCGCTGAACTGCCTGTCTTTTCTCAGCCGGGGCAAAGGTTAGCTTCCACAGTTTTCCCTTAAAGCTTTGGCACCTGTTATCATTTTTAAGGAAACCAAAGATGGTATAAAATAAATTTGTGTAAACAATCAAACATTATTATTCTTAGAACTCAACACCTAATCTCATAGCTCATATAAAACTTAGACTAGAACAATTATTCAGTACACTTCTTGGAAGACACCAACAGTTGCAGCAAGAGTTCAGTATGTACGATCCAGAATTCATATGTTGAGAATGGAAAATTTATATCTGGAGGTAAGATCTTTTAAAACAAAGCCCTTAGAGTGATCCCTAATCTTATCTGATAAGTAGTCCTCTAAGAAGAAATTTGGACAAAGAAATACCAAAGAACAGTGCTAGGGAGATGGTTCCGTGGGTTAAGACATTTGCTGTGCAAATCTGGCAAGGTCTGATTTAAAATCCCAAGAACCCACAGAAAAGCCAGATGTATTGCAACAGCTGCAATCCCAGCTCTCCTATAGGATAGATGGGATGTAGAAACAGAAGAATCCACAGAGGTTCATTGTCTGGCTAACTTCATACATACATCAGAAAAGCCACCGTCTCAAATATAAGAAATGGACTGACACCCAAGGCTGGCCCTTACATGCATGTCACAAAGGCACCCACATCTGCACACAAGAAAGAAAGAAAGAAATGATCAGGGATGTGTGTGGACTGTGAAGACACAGTGAGGCCTGAGACCAGTCCCATGGACTCCCTCTCCTGAGACTCGGAGTCTCCAGAATCCTGAAACAGCAAGTCTCTACTGTTCAGCCTCCTTGGCCTGTAAAATTTTGTCATACGCAGTGACATTCCTCAAATAGAAAATCACATCCCTCAAACAACAAGATCTATCACAAAGAGCATTTGAAAACTCATAAGCCGGGCGGTGGTGGCGCACGCCTTTAATCCCAGCACTTGGGAGGCAGAGGCAGGCGGATTTTTGAGTTCGAGAGTTCGAGGCTAGCCTGGTCTACAGAGTGAGTTCCAGGACAGCCAGGGCTACACAGAGAAACCCTGTCTCGAAAAACCAAAAAAAAAAAAAAAAAGTTAAGAAAAGAAAAGAAAACTCATGAGATTCCCCCCATTTAAGAGTACCCAGGGTCTGGCCCGCAAAGACTGATAAGATAAGCAAATTTCAAGGTTGAAGAGGCCTCAATGCCAACGGCAGTCTGTAGTAGAAAACAGCTTGGGATTCTGTGTAGACACCTTGCTTGGGACTCTGTGTACACACCTTGCTTGG